TTAATTTCTCAGTTAAGTTGTAATATGATAACGATCCATAGATATAATCCACATAAAACAAAAGCTCTTTAGGGTCCTCCATAATTTTTAAGAGTGAAAATCCTGAGACCAAAAAGTTTGAAAACCACAGCTCTAAGCTAAATATAGGATGTCCCAAAACTCTTATTGCAGTTTTAAGCTTTAAATAACTTAATCTGCACTAAGACTTTTGGGACACCCTGCTGGAAACAGAAAAGTTGCAAAGGCTCTGAAGCCACATTTGCCTGAATTCCCTGAACTGTACGTAGCAGCCCCAAGAAGGGAAGTCCCAGATAGGATTCTGAGTTCATCAAGATAAGCCTAGGATTATATCGAGCTGTGATTTCTTATGACAATAAATGGAATTAGAGCAAGTGGCAAGGTGGAAGAGGGGACATTGGACTTAAAGTTAGAAGATCTGTATTCTATATCCTGTTTGACCATTAACCTACAAGTTTCTTAACCTCCTGTCAGTCTTTCCATCTGAAATATTGGGTTGGACTAGTGGATTTCTAATGCCCTTTCTATTTCTAAGATTCAGTAATTGGAGTTAGCTAGATTTTTTTTCATTCGTTAATCTATGTTTATTTTAATAATATTTATATATGAGAAGCTAATAATTATAATCTGGATCTCAGGCACCTTTAAGGCACACATCTATGACAAAGATGACAGTGTACCCTAAGAATGAAGGAAAACAGATTTTAAGTGCTGAAATTGCAAAACCTAAACTTATAAAGAAATAATTTTCATATGTTTTAAAGGTGTGTTTATTTTATCTGTTGTGAGAGAGTAGTCAATCAAGTCTTCAGGTTTGCCCTTTTTCAAAAACCTTAGTTTATACAGTTAGAAGATTATTATACACAAAGTTTTATATTTTCTTCTAGTTACTTTTTTGTTGATACATGCATAGATGGGTTCATCCTTTATTCCACCATGGTGAGTTTTAAGCCATGAGAATGAATAGCTAATGGTACCTACCCTTCATTGTTAATTAAAACTTGGGTTGATACTGCCTTCAGAAACAAATATGGAACATCCATGGATTAGGAGAGAAAAGTTTGGTCAGAACTAGCGTTATGTGGCCCTCTGAATTATTTACAATGGACTTCTCAACTTTGTTTTATTTATATCTTGGAGAAAGAAATCTTTGTGAAATTTTTTTACAAATCAAATCACTAAATTGACGGTTAGTCATGCATTTCTTATAAATAGGTGACATGCAACTTTTAAGCAAACCCATCTACTAACAACAGTGAGATAAAACTAAATTTTAAAAAGACAGTTCTTCATCTCACTTATACTCTGTTCCTCACAAAAATTGGTTCAGGCTTTGAAAATTAAATCTTTATCATAACCAGCCTCTCAGTATTCTGGCTTGTTCATTACATCACAGTTGTATGTGGCTTACAATTTTGTACTGTATTACTTAAAGCAATTATCAACAAAATGTATGACAAAAGCAAGTAGATATTAATACAACCTTCTCCACCACCATTGTCTCACTCTCTTCAGGATCTCCCATCAGTGGTTCTCAACTTTGGTTGGATATTAGAATCATCTGGGGAGCTTTAAAGACTAGTAATGTTTGGGTCCCCCCCCCCAGATTCTGTTATATTATTGGGCTGGAGTGTGGTCTGGGCATTGAGAGGCTTAAGGCTTCACAAGTGATTCTGATTTGCAGCTGCTCCTGAGTACCTCTGTTGCCTCTCCTTGTGAGATACCTGCCTTACCCAGACCAATAACCAGGAATCTAGTCCCAGGTCTTTCAGCCATTTTTGCAGAGTTACTACTGTGTTTGCTATCCAACTGATATATTCACAAAGTTTTCATTAATATACTGCAGTTTGAATCCCTTCCAAATGAAACAGTACAAAAGATGCAAGGTGAAAGAACAAATCTTTTAAGCTAATGTTTAATCAACCATTTATTGTACTTCATATAAATAAGAAATCTAGTTGCACAACACAGTGATGGAAACGTATAAAAATGTAGGAAATATGATTCAATCTGTTTCACTGCCCGAGAAGCAGCAGCCAGAAGATTCTTTACCATCTTCTACTAAATCTACCTGCTATCTGTTGCTTTTGTTAAAGCATCCATGGCACGTTTATTACCATATGCTTATTCCATGGCTTGGAAGAGGATTTGAGTTTATCATTCTTGAAATTCTGCCATTATTTTCTAAGGTGCCCTGAGATGAGGAAAATCATTTGTACCAATGAGAAACCTTAAATTCTAAGACAATTACTACAGTAGTTGTGCTGCTCGCAAGCATCTTATAACTACAGTCTAGTATTTCTTTGCTGAATCAGGATTGGGAAGTGGGAACTGATTCTAATAGGGTAAGTCATGGGAAGAATTCAAATGGCAACAATGGTATTTTGTGTAGAAAGAGGGTGGCTAATAAAATTATAAAATCTTAGTAATGCATTAGGGAATCTCAGCTAAAACTGCCTCTTTCTGAGTTTATACAGCAGGGGGTTTTTTCTTCATCTTTCTTAATTCTTAATCTTTGACCATTAATAAGAGAATTAATTACATATTAGACATATTTTTTTTTAATGATAAAAGCATTGCTCTGGGAATTTTAATAGTTTGTTTTTCAGTCTTTATTCAATTAAATTGAAGAATAAACTAGAATATTTTTCTTTTTATGTTCTAACAGGCACCAGAAGTAATCAGAATGCAAGATAAGAACCCATACAGCTTTCAGTCAGATGTGTATGCTTTTGGGATTGTTCTGTATGAATTGATGACTGGACAGTTACCTTATTCAAATATCAACAACAGGGACCAGGTAAATATTTACCATCTCTTTGGGTTTATTTTACAATTTGTATAAAGATTCCAGTTAGTTGTAGAAAAGAAGTGTTGAGTCCTGGGTAAGCATGAAGGGTAGATTTCTTGATCTTACTATTACCAAGTTTTGGAAATATTTTGTACACTTTTGGCAATAATAGCAGCCTGTAAGGCGTTTCCTTAAAATATCAGTCATTGGCTCAGGCCTATAATTCTAGCACTTTGGGAGGCCAAGACAGGAGGATCATTTGAGGCCAGGAGTTTGAGACCAGCCTGGGCAACACAGCAAGACCCTGTCTCCACCAAAAATTTTTTTAAAAATTAATTAGCCAAGTGTGGTGGTGTGCACCTATAGTCCCAGCCACTTAGGAGGCTGAGGCAGGAGGATCACTTGAGCTCAGGAGTTTGAGGTTGCAGTGAGCTATGAAGATGCCACTGCACTCTAGCCAAGGCAACAGAGCAAGACCCTGTCTCAAAAAAAAAAAAAAAAAAAAGTCTTAAATGTTACAATGGAGTGAAATTCCTGATTTTTTAAAGATACAGCAATGGATATACCTCAGGTTTCTTGACCGTAGCACAATTAGATGAATGAGCTCTGCTATTATAGCATCTGGACTTTATACCTTTTATTCTGTCACAGATTATGCTATCAGAGCAGGTATGCAGTTATGGACTACTTTATATCAAATTCTTTTAAAATTATTAAGGTTTCTTTTTTTTAATTTTTAAAATTAGGTAAATGAAAAGAATGTTACATCATGCTTTAATTTTTCTATAATTAGAATTCTAGTAGGAAGATAAGTTTTTACTTCTTTCCTTCCTTAGTTCCTTTTCTCTGTTCCTTACCTTCCAGAAGGTACCAATGTAACCTAATGGAGCTCTTAGCCTTTTCTATCTCAGCCACATTAAACTCAGGCTTTTAAAACTGGCCAAGAAAAGTGAGTTGTCTTTACTGAAAGTACCTTGAATACCTCAACATTTAAGTATATGTGTGTGTAGAGGGACGGAGGGAGATTACGGCAATTAAACTTCATTAGAAAACAATAGTTGACCACATAAACTGCGATTGAAGAATATTTAGACTTTATACTGGGATTTGCATCAGAATCACCTGGGAAATTTGTTTAAAAGAATGGAGATGCTGGAGCAGATTCTGACTCATTAGGGTGGGGTCCAAGCTACCCGCATTTCTTAGGTTTCCCAGGTGATTCTGATACATACCAAAGTTGAGAATCACCAGTCCAAAGAAATTTTTTAAAGTGTGAGCTTTATATGTATTTCCTCATAACTTCCCAACCTAATGAAATGGTGGTTTTTGTGTATAAATTTGTTGCTTCATGTAAGGGATGTGTTTGTTTTGGTCAGTAGCTCAACTCTCAGTCTTTTTGGTGACATCTCTATAGCTTTCTCTCTTCAGCTATCATGTGATATCAGGGGAGTAATCTGAGTTATCATGTATTTTGTGTATACTTACTGAATCACCATGTGGCCCTTACCCAACAGTGGTCTTGATTCCATGTTTTGAGGATTTTTTAAAATGGCTACATTTCTGCCCATTTCATCATAAACTAAATTTTTAGTTGCTGTTGAACTTTCTAACTACGTCATAGCTTTAGAATGTTGAGTCTTGGCTTTGTGTGTTAAACAACATATGATTTCAGTTTTAATTATCTGGTATTTTAAGCCTGCATGGGACTTAGATTCACGGTAGACCAAAATATTAGCTAAAGAGCATAAGGGAGGCATTGCACTTACTGCACTTGTGTCAGATCTAGATCACTGAGATGATTGATTCGATTATGGCAGTCTGAGTAGCAAAATTGTCTCTAATTTGCACACTTCATGTGCTCTGCCTTTTACAGTCTTATTAATTCGATGGTATAGCATAAAACCCTGTGCCATGTTCACCTTTCCTGTGCATATTATTTGTCTGGAGAAATTACTAGGGATCTTTAGTTTAGTTGATTTATCATAGAGACTACAAATTAATGTAAATTTATGAACCTAAAATCTGGATGAAATCCATTTGTCAGTGAAAAAGTTTATTTTAATATAATAATAAAATTATGATACAGAAACAAGTATTATTATCTCCAAAATGTGGATAAAAGCATCCCAGAGTTCTGCACTCATCCACTTCTTGGCATTTTAGGTGCTTTGTCCTCCATGGGAGTATAATAAATGATGTGGCAAGGGCTTACTCTCCATGAGAGGAGTGAGTGACCAGCAGAAGGGTAAGGCCTTTACTAGTTAATTCTTTCTAGTAGTATAGTTAGATCCTTCTGGAATTTGCCAGTCTGAAACAAAGTTAAGTATTTGATGGAGAAGAAGGGTAAAAGAATGATATCCTCTTCTCACTACCCCCATTCTGTTTCATTACCCTCTAGTCTGCTTTCGTAAGTGGTACTTTCCCTGTAACTCCACATTTTGAAAGGATGACTCTGGTTATCCTCAGTGAAATAACCCCAGGTATTGCTTCATCCATCCCCTTGATTTGATTTTTCTTTCTTTCTTTTTTTCTTTCTCTTACACTTTGATCTCCATGGCTCTCAGATTAAATTTCTGTTTAAGAATCCAAAAATATTCTTTACTATGCCATATAGACATCATTCCCCTATACACTCAACCCCATAGTCTGAAGTGGCAGGTTTTGCCTGTAAATTCAAAGCAGGGCTCTGGTAAAGCAGTGTAATGCAATAGCAGGCCTTGGACTCAAGACCCTCATGACCAGGTCACCTTACTTCTCTGTGTATCTTTTTTTTTTCCAATTATAAAAATAAGATAATTAGACTAAAGAATTTCTTCTAGTTCTAAAAATCAGTTCTTTCCTAAAATAGGTCTCTTAGCTCTTTGAAGGATGACCATCTCTATATTACTTTGCAACGTAGTATACCTTTTTTACCTTAACTTACCCTAGTGTTGGAAGTCTGGGAAATCACATTGTCATTTGTTCCCCTCTTTATAATTCCAGTATTTTCCTCTCTAATCACTCTATTCTTCCCTTTTTCACTGCAGCTTCTCTAAGTTGGGATTAATAATGTGCTTATGTAAGCTAGGCATATTGACTATACCCTCATGGTTTTCCTTTCTTGGAGCAGAAGTGCTATGTCTTCTTAAAAGAAAATAACAGATAACATATGTCTGTTATTATAAGTGTATTCCAGTTATTATTGCTGCATAACCAACCACCCAGAATGTAGTAGCTTAAAACAAATTATTAATATGAATTTGCAATTTGGGCTGCCCTCCCATGAGGATGATTCATATCTCTTTTACATGGTACTCACTGGAGTAGCTAGACATCGTGTTAAAACGATCTACTCCAACATGGCTCATTCACCTACCTGGCAAGTCAGTGCTAGCTGTCAGCTAGAAGCTCAGTCATGGCCAAGGGTCGGGGGCCTCAGTTATTCTCCACATGGACCTTTCCATAAGGACATCTTCACAGGCTGCTTGGCTTTTCTCATAGCATGGTGTCTGGATTCTAAGCACAGTATCTCAAGAAACAGGAAATAAGTACTAGTGTCTTATCAACAGGCAAATTATTTTAATAGAAAATGTTTTCAGTACCTGCTATATACAAAGCACTGTGGAATATAGAGGGATTCACCGATAAAGAGAACAAAGCACAGGCTCTGCTTGCAGCCGGGTGGACAGTTCTGTTGAGACAGTACTGGGGATGGTACTGAAAATGAGCAGATGCGTGCTTCAGTAATGCTGAGGAGTGGATGAAGGGGTAGAGATGCCAGGAGTGCTGAGTGCAGATTGAAAATAAAAAGACCCAGAATTTCAAACCGAGGTATTGCTCTTACAGTGTATATGCCACATGAATCTTTTATCCATGAATTACATCCAGGAAAGACTTTCCCTTTTCCCTTCTTATTTTTTCTTCATTAGTCAGCCCCCCACCCACCCCAGCAGATGTTTATTGAAGGTCACTTGCTTTGTGCCTTGTACTAACTAAATTCTGTAGGGCATATAAAAATATGAGAGTTGTCCTCAATTTTTTCTCCCATTCCTCCTAAAAAAATTTTGAAAAACTATATACTTCCTTCTATATTTTTAAGTTGGTATCAAATATTTTTATCTTGCAAAGATAATTGCAAAGAATGTAATTTCCAGTGTATTCTATTCATATTTTAAAATAAGGTTACTATAGCCCTCTTTTTAAAATGTATCCAGTAAAATCTAAAAACCATACTGATTTGATACCTACCATCACTTGTTTAAAAAATACAGAAGCTTTTTGTTAAGTTTTGGAAGTTTTACATGGTTCCTTTTTTCCCTTCAAACTATTTGTATTCTGTTTTCCCCACAGAATTTTGTCCTAATGTAAGATAGTTTTATGCTTTAAAGCCTTTTATTGATTACCAAAGTTACATCTCTGCAACGAAAGATGTTTATAAGTTTAAATTTAGAATTTTAAAAAATTTTCTGACTTTGGACCCTGTTAATTTTTTTAATTCTAAATTACATTATTGTTACAATTATTAATATATACCTAATTAAAAAAATAAGTTCTGAGGTATAGAAACATAGAAGGTAAAATTTTATTGGAAATGTATATCTTAATGAATGACATGGGGTTTTTCTTTTCCCTTGAATTAATGTATGCATCTGGGGATAAATAAGGCTTTTTTGCTAGAACAAGCTAGGGCTCAGTATCAATCCTTTCCTTGTTTTATTTTTAGAGGCAAGTACTGAGAAATCTTATTCAAATAAGAAGATGGGAAAGGCAGGAGTTTTGTTACAGCCATATGCAGAGTTTAGTGGTTCCTAAGACCAACTTCAAGTTCAGTAGTTCACTAAAAGGATTCACTGAAAACTCACTAACAACTGTTCCAGACTCCCTGACAGCTGTTATACTCACAATTATAGTTTATTAAAATGAAAGAATACAGATTAAAATTAGCCAAGAGAAGATGCTCATGAGACAGAATCCAAGAGAGTTCCTGTGTGGAGCTTTCAGTACCCCCTTCCGGTGAAGTTGTAGACAGT